AGTCACAAAGTCTTGGTTGCCCTTCCATGCCTTGAATAGGCCGAGGAAACGCCACAGGAAAACGTACTGTTCTCCTTTCACGAAAAATGGACGCATCTTCTTCTTGAAGTAATCTACTCCATCTGGGGCTGCAAGCCTTTCTCGGTTAAGTGATTCTTTTTGTACTGCGGCCAATCCGGAGAGCCTCGTCTTGAGAGACGGACCTCTTTTGGTGTCATCCAGCGTTGTTATGTCGCACCAGTCGTCAATCAACTGTTCATACTCAAACCACGAAGTGGTGCCATCATAGGCAGGCGCGATCTTGGGCGTTATGCCTAATGATGCAAGCATGCGGTCAGATGTTGCAAATGACTGTGCGACATAAGTGGCTGGACCTTGGGAGGTCTCTTCGTTCTCATATCCCCCGGAGGATTGGGAACTGCCGTCGGCTTCGCTATGCGAGCTCGACATTGTGCTGCCTCTTATCCGCTTGGTCAAGCGTTCGGCGAGGCCGACCGCTGTAGCGGACTTTGTGAGGCGGGCGGCCCTTTCCGGGCTCCGCTACCAGAAAACTGTGCCGATACACCCACAAGGAATACTCCTTGTTAGGAGGTGTATGACCAGTTATTCCCTAAGGATCAAAGGGCAGCGCCCTGCACACGGACAGTAGTTGTTTTGTCTTGCTACGCAAGGAGAGCTTGTCTTGTCTCAATATGGTAAAACCACTGTGAGCCAATGGGCAGCGGAATGTATATGTATGAGCATGCAGCCATTGCTGTAGGTACCCGTTAGAGCTACCCCTTTAGAGGTTTATGGTTTCACCCCCCCTCCCCCACCCCCCCTCCCGCCCCCCCCCACTCCCCCTTCCCTCCCGCCCCTCCGCTCGCTGACAGGTGCGAGCTTTCTGGAGTTTTCGACGACACGGGACTGCAATGTAGCATCTTCATGTGCGTCTCAGGCTTGTTTTAGACGCCCTTTCGTTGGGATAGGCGGAGTAACGTGGTTGAAAAGGCTGTGATGCTTCCCTAATCCAAGACGCCCACGAAATCCACAGCCTCAACGGCCCATACTCAAGGCATCCCGCCGCTTGCAAAAGTCTTGGTATCCAGTGTTTCGGAATGACGACACCAAAATTCGTACTGATACTACCACTACTAATACTACTCACAATCATCCTGCGTCGTGTTGCTATGAACATTACTTTTACTATAAGTGCGATTCCAACTGTTACTTTTATCCTACAAGAGGCTTGCTGCAGATAGTAGTCACTCGCCGCATGCGCGTACAGCCGGGCCGAGGCGGACGACGCGCAGCGTTTCAAATTTAAGAGTTTGGAGTTTAGGGCTTGCGGGTCCACGGAAGGAAGGAAGAGAGAGAGAGAGAGAGAATAAGCTTGCGAGACAGGCAGAGATAGGGAAAGAAAGAGCGAGAAGACAGCAAGTACGACATTCAAAGTGCAGCATGCTTAGCACACACGCAAACCTGAAGGTCCACATATGCACTGGTCACTGGCCTGATTGTCTTGTCTGTGCTCCTTAACTGACCATTGATGAAAGATGTCCTACATGTGTTCCACATTTGGGTGGCCAGATAGAAAACCGTACGACTTAGATCTTCCCTTAAACTAGCATAACCTTTGTTTCTCTAGGTTCTTATGAAAAACGATGATCTAGAACCTAAAAGGATCCTACAAAAAAGTAGGTTTTGGAATATCAACATAGGGTTGAGAGAACCTTCAACCCCTCAAATCCATAAGCCCCGAAGCCGTCAGCCGTATAACCTTCAAATAGCCCCTGAGTTTGCTGAATAACCCAGAAACAAACATGTACAAACCCGAAACCCTCAAACTGAATCCGAAAACCTCTCCGCAAACGCACAGGTGTTAAGCAAGAAAATGTGGCTTGGAGTTTGGCATAGACTTATGTGCCTTCCGCTGGTGGAGCTGCGCCAGGGTTTAAGAACTGCGACGTAGGATTAAGGGCTCCAAAGATTTATGGGGTCTACCTTAACCCGGAATGACCTACCCTTTCAAGGACTTGTTAAGGAAATCACCAAAAGGAACCCTAAAAAGGTAGGTTATTCAGGGTTTAGATCATGGGGCTGTGTTACCTTAAGGCTCGAGGGACTTTTTCTTCAAGGCCTTTGGGCCCGCAGACCATACTGATGTAGGAACCTGATTAAGAAACCTTGGGCCTCTATAAGGGATCTATAGGGCCTACTATAGGGGTTCCTTTGAAGGGTACTATAAGGGTTTGGGGGGTTTTTAATGTAGGAACCTGACTAAGAAACCTTGGGCCTTTACTAGGGTTCCTTATATGGGTGGTTGTCAAAATTGGGGTCCCTTTTTGGGTCCCTGTGATAATACGGCACCTATTCTCAGGGTACCCAAAAATGGACCTTAATTCTGACAACTACCCATATGATTCCAAAATTTTGGGGGGTTACAGACTCAGGGTTTCTTGAACAGGTTCCTACATTAGGGCTACTGGGTCTAGGGTTGGCCTTATCGAATGGAATGACCTCGCTTGTTTGCGTGAAACGCCCTGAAACCTGGAACCTGTAAACCAAACCCCTGTAAAGCTGAAACATGCCGTCCTCGAGCTGGCTTTGGAGCTCTTGTGCCTGGGCCATCGGTCAAAATTGAGTTCGCACATTCAGGCTTCAGGGCTTTGGCTTGGGGTAAATTCTGAGTTTGTGGACTAAGGCTTTTTTGACTTGCCTTCTCAACACCGAAAGCATTGAACCCCTGAGTCCTAAGCTAAATCCTACAAATGCTGCACACTCAACCCTCCAGCCCACATCTGTGGAGCGCGTGGGTGTGGGGCTTGCTAGGGCTCAGGGTTCGGGGTTCTTGAACCCGAGGCCCAAGACCCTCAACCCTAAACCCTGAACCTTAAACCCTAAACCCTGAACCTTAAACCCTGAACCTTACACCCTAAACCCTAAAACCTTTTTTTTTACATCTGGACTTGATGAATGCCACCTTAAACCCTAAACCCGAGGATTTCGATTCTTCGATCCTGTTTCGGCTGTTGTGTGTGGATGCTCCAGGGCTTTGCGGCTCTAAGCCCGAAACGGTTCAGACGGTAGGGTTTTAACATAGTTCAAAACCCACAACTACCCTAACTGACTCAAACCCAGAACTCGGAAATCAAAATATAGGGGTATTACCTTAGAGCGGCCGGGGTTAAAGTCCTGCATTCGCACTCCGGATCTTGAAGTTGCCATGCACCAAACTTCGACCGGCTTTCCCCCGCCCCCCGATGCCCCTGTGTCCGGCTCACACCTAATGCCTTGCGTCAAGCAGGGCAGCTGCGCAAAAAGCCTTACAATGTATGACCCTTATATGACAACCTTATAGAACTCTTGACACTTGAGGGTGAAGGCTTCATAAAAGCCTTATGAGGCCTGTATATGGCGGCCGGAAAGAAGCCTGAGCAACAAATCTGAGAAGATTGCCTTCGCTGCCGCAGCACCCTCCTTCTCTTTAGTCTCCTTGAGCAAGACAAAGGGACAAAGCAGTTCCTAAACCCTAACCCTGAAAGGGACTCCAAAGGGTCCTAAACCCTGAAAAGGGACTCCAAGGGGCCCTAAACGTTGAACGTGACTCTGAGGGGTCCTAAACCCCAAAAGGGACTCCAAGCTGTTATGTAGGGTTCTCATAGTGTGACTGTAAGGGTTCCAAACACATTGACTGTAACCATAGAGGGTTCTAGGATTTAGGGTTATTACAAGCGTTCCAATAATGTAAGGGTCAGAAAAAGGTTTCAATTTGGCCTTTTAGGCTTTCGGGGTTTATGGTGTCGAAATCTTATAAAGGGTTTCTTGTTGGACCCAGATTCGTGACACCCTAAACCTCAAGCAAGGTTCTAAGCCCTAAAAACCCGTCGTTTGTCCCTTAGAGGCCGCAAGTCTGCTTGCATTCCTCATCCTCGAACCCCAAACCCTATAGAGCCCAACCTACTTGCCGGGTATCATGGGGAATTAAACCTTTTTGATTCTATAGGGGTTATGTAGGGACTATACTACCCCAAAAAGGTTCAAGGTTACCTACTCTACTACTAGGCTCTACAAAACTACAACAGAACCAAACTGCAACCCAGTCGCGCATGCTAGCTTTGGAAAATTTTCGAACTCGAGTCTCCTTATATAGTACGTGTGGGTCGCCCTTAAGCCCCAAAGATCCACGCTCGAAGCGTTTTCTAGGATGCCCAGTAAGCTAGGAATAAAAAGGGCTCCCTTCTTGGTATTGCGTAACTTTATAAGGAACCTAGGACTACAAAAAGGGAGTAAGGGTACTACTGGGCATCCCAGTTGTTAGAGATCCTTTAGTAACTCGTCCGGAACCTCCAACCCTACATCCTATAATCTTTCCTGGGGGCTAACTCCATGACCTCTGATGTCGAAATCTTGAGCCTCACTTCCGAGTTTAACCCTAAACCCTAAACCCCTAAACCCTAAATCCTCCTTCTGATCCAAAAATCGACCCAAAAATCCTCGACCTCCTTAGACCTTATTAACCCTAAATCCTCCCTTGTAGTATATTTGTAGAGTGAGCAGGGTTTTGAGGGGTTGTGTAGTGAGATATGCCAACATGTCCTTGTTTATAATATTGTACATATATATATATATATATAGATAGATAGATAGAGGTGTATATAGAGTAAGTGCAAGGGATTACATAATGACCCGGTAGGCGGGTCCTGCAGCTGCACCTCTAAATCGGCCGTTGCCTGCTTCGACGCCTGAAGCTCGGCCTCTTCCAGGACGGTCACGCTTCGGGGCTTCCGGTTAAGGTTTTAAGGTTGAGGTTTATAATGCTTGTAAAGGGTGTTTTGTTTGCTTTTGGGGTTTTGGGTTGGTGGCGGTTAAGGTTTGGAATTCCAGGAATTAAACAGGTTTGGATGGGCTTGGGGTTCTCAAGGGCTTTAGGGTCTTGCGGCAAGATTTCGGAGTATGGTTGCGCAACATTCTGTACGCGGGTTTAATGAGGAGTGCCAGGTACTGTTGAGGGTCATGCCCTACTCAGATTCAAGTGGGGACTTCAAAGAACATCTGGGTGGAAATGGCAAGGCACGCAAACTCGATGTCGCTGCGATTTTGTACTTGTCGCTCTGGAGTTGGGAGTTCCCATACCGCTCCATCACGCCAGCAGCCACATGGCGGCTAGTGGCCATGTAATCCTCTTCCTGGCCTCTGCGATCTTGTTGGCTGCCGCCACACTCTTGTGGTGTGGGCTGCGTGGGGTCGGCATAATATGGCGGCCTTAATAAACAGACTAGATGTGTAACAAGGTTCCAGCAAACAGTTTTCTTCATCACCACTGCCACAAGGCACACAGTATCTTGGACCTTGGATTGCATGTAGACTAGTAGAGGAAAGCACCGGGCAAACGCGCAAACCTAAAACCCAAACACCAAAGATCTCCCAGCACTATTTAAAACACGACACAAACAACTCCCCAACGAAAGCAGCTAAACTAACCTCGAAAAATTGAATGGGAGTTTCCGAAAATAGGGGACCCTTATCTAGGACCCAAGATAGGGTACCCCGATTTTCGGAAGCTCCCAAGTCGCAAACCGCAAACTGTCACCGCAAACGAAACCCTGGCAGCTAATTTCCCGTCCTCAAATCGGCTCTCCAGCTCCTTTGCCTGGCAGAGGGGGTTTATCCTATGGTTGATGAGATAAATTCTGCATTACCGGGCCTAAACGATGAGAATTATTCCTTATTATGGGTATAATGCAGGATTTATCCCATCAAGCGCTGTTAGGGTGTATAGGGCTTTGGATTTAGGGTTTCGGCCCTCTCACTTGGAGGGCTACAGGGCTTTATGACTTGGGTGGCTTTCAATATTAGGGTCCCTTTTGGGTCCTTATCATAATCCGGCAACTAAAAGTTAGGGTACCCAAAAAAGGGACCATCATTCTGACAAGCACCCACTTTTTTCTCCAAGGATTGAGGATGCAGTAGGGTTGAAGAGTGTGTTTTCTGGCTCAGGAAGGGCTGAGGATGTGGTAGGGTTTCGGGCTTGCGGCCTGGGATTGAGAGCTTCAGGGTTTGTGGCTTCGGGTTGAGGGGTTCGAGTTAGGAAAGTTTCGGACTGCTCGTGGTACCCCTGAGTCTGCGGCAAATCATGTAGTGCATATCGTAGGATCCAGTTCGCGATGAAGAAGCGTGCTCGGACGCGGAATACAGGCGAGGTGCCCACACAAATGACAACATGTGGCAGTTTGAGAAAATGACTAACCCATTTCCTTTTGAAGCAATCAAGTGATTAATAGCATAATAGCATCCTCATTGTGAAAAACATCCGGGAACCTCCTTTATAACTTGCAATCGCGGCAAAGTTCAGAGTCTCGAGCCCGCTGCGCTGAACGCTAGCCTTACGCCCTAGACCCTGAACCCTCAAACCGTTCCCCCTAGCAGTACCCCCGACACCGACATCACAAAGCTGATGCCGTGGAAGCTACGGGCTCGACCCAAAACACACCCAAAAGTGCCAACAAGCAGTGACATTGCTCCTCAGTGGCTCAGTGGCTCCTTGGTGGTTGGTGTTGGGTCTTAATGGCTCCAGCAATGCCTCAAGCCTGAATTCTAAACTAGAAACCCGAATCCTAAACCCTAAACACTTCTGCATCCTAAAGAAACCCTAAAGTGTAAACCCCAAAATCCCATACCCTAAATCCTGAACCCTATGCTTAGTTGCCACGTGCATAACCCCTCTAAAATTTTAAACTTTCAGTTTTCAGAAGGTTTCATTAATCCAAAATGCTTAGAGTTTATAAACTCAGCTACCCAAGTATGTCTAAGTCCCAAAATCCCAAACCACAAACCCTTCAAGGCCCTAAACCTCGAAATGGAGGCGAGCGGCCTTTGCTTGAGCTGACTCCTCCTTGGACCGGGCCTCCTTTCGGAAAGTATAGCAGAAGCTTTGGGGTTCAGGGTTTAGGGTTTAAGGGTGTAGGGTTTAGGGGTTTAGGGTTTAAGGGTTTAGGGTTTAGGTGCCCGTAAGGTAAAGTAGAGGGAATCCTAGCACCAATCCTCCTAAAGCCATGTTCCAACTTTCTGGCGTCTAAGCCTAGCTTTGAAGGCTTTGCGGCTTCCTTGGCAGGGATCGACAGGGGTTCCCTTGAAGAGAGCTCTACAAGGGATTTATAGGGGTTCCTTTACGGCTTCCTTGACGGGTTCCTTCAACGGCTCCAGTGCGGGTTACTGTCGGGGTGATGTTATATAAGGGTTCCCTGTAAAGGTTCCTCGCGCGACGTTCATTTAAGGCAAGGTTACTGTGAGACGCTCCCACAATTGTTTGTTCCTTTAAGGCATCATCTTTTGAGGTTTTTTGAGGGTTCTGTGAAGGGCGTAGGTGATCGAATCCGGAAACCCGAAGACCTAAAGCCTTGACCCCGGAGTCCCGAGACCTCGAACCTAGGGTTTCTGGCGGGTTCACTTGGAGGGTCGCGGGACTTAGTAAGTAGGTAGTAAGTAGACTTATAAGTACCGTAAAAGGGACTCTTTTTGGGTGTTATGGTACTTATAAGTCCGTCAAATAACCAATTACAAAATCCCCTGACCCTCCAAGTAGGGTTTTATGGGTTGTGGGATGAGTAGGTTTCAGGGTTTTGGCATAGGGTCGCAGGGTTCAGGGTGTGTTGTGGAGGTTGTGCTTCCTGGTTCGATATTTGTTGCTAGAACTATCCAACAACCACATGCCACAGAATCGAAACCCGAAGCCCTGTATCCTAAACCCGCAGTTTCCGCAAAAAAACAGCTTAAACCCCTAAACCCTTAAACCCCCTAAACCCTTAAACCCCTGAACCCTAAACCTTAGGAGCCGACCCAGGAACCCCGAGTTGTCCTCCAACTTCGCCTCCGAGGCAGCCAGCGCCTCCTTCGTGGACACCAGCTCCTCCTCGCCACACGGCAGACCCAGAGAACCCAATAGGCTCCCTTTAAAGGGATCTACAAGGGCTTCCTTTAAAGGGATCTATCAAGGAATCTATAGGGTTTAGGGTTTAGGGGATTCTAATGCCCCTTAATTAAGGAATACCTTGGAAGGGGCCCCCACCCTGTAATAGTGACTATAAGGATTATATTCGGGCCCTATTATACTGCTATTATACCACAATTACAGGGTGGGGGGCCCCTTCTAACCAATACCCCTCAATTAAGGAAGATACCTCAAATCATAGTATTATAGGGCTCAGGGTTTAGGGGATTCCAGTGCGCCTCAATTAAGGAATAGAATAGACCTCACATCATAAGATGAAGGCCTCTATGATTTTAGGTATATTCCTTAAGTAAGGAGTATTGGGATCTCTGGGGAGCTCCAGAAATCAGGGCTTCTATGGTGCTACGTGTACATGTATGTGTACATACAAAACTATGTGACTATATGTTCTATATAGGGGTTAGGAAAATTAAACTGAATATATATATATATATATATACATATGTATAAAAATCGGGTTCTGTAGCTTTTGTGGGGCTTTCCAGGGCGTTAGAGCCGGCAAGGTTTTATCGTTTGATGGCTTGTTGAAACAGTTTCAACATCATGACATCAGTGCTTGACGGGAACATCCCCACAGAGGGTCATGGGTTGTTATGAGAAGCTTTTCAAGTAGCGTAACCGCAGCTACAAGTACTCGCAGCCCCATGCAACTGCTGTACTGCACCCACAGTGCGGAAACAGGGTAGGCTTCACTAGATCACTAGATCCAGAGCCAGCATGATAGGCTTGACGAGGGAAAGAAATCGGGCAAATATGAGGAAATCGTTCAAGGTAAACAGTAATCAACAGGACCACCTGCCCACCGTACCACCGCCGCCGCCACCACCACCAGCGCAGCACCAGAGAACCGCACCGGCAGCAGCAGGAGCAGGAGCAGGAGCAGGAGCAGGGCAGGAGGATTTGGGAGGCAGAACATTGCGAGATCGTTTTATCAAGCTCTGAACCCCTTGCATGTATGTTTGTAAACATGCATGCATGTATGTGTGTATACATACATATATATACATACATATATATATATATATATACATATTTGTTTATTTATGTCTGTATATGTAGACAGATGTAAGTACAGATGGCGGTCCAGATATATTTATATATGTATACAGATAGAGAAATAAATAGAAGTACAGATACAGATGCAACCATAGATAGAAATTTAGAGATCCAGAGACAAAGAGATACAAATGTGGACGAGTACATGTGTGAACATGTGTATGTATATATATATATATATATACAAACATATATATATATATATATATATATATATATATATATTTTTATTTAGGCACAGCTACACATACATACATGCATGCATACATACATACATACGTGCACACATACGAGAATACATGCATATAGATAGATAAAGATCAAGATAAAGATATAGGTAGCTTGGCAGCTGGCCTCCCCCGAAAATGTGTCCAGCACATTGCATAACCTTGAACCCTATGCCAGACCCCGAACCCCCAAACCACAAGTTTGCTTGATCTAAGGAGGGGTAGGCGACGAAGATTGGCGCCTTCGTGGCGGCCGCCTCCTCTTGGGCCTTGATGTCCTGGGAGTCCTGAAAGATGAGGAGATGACGGGAAGGGTGACCGATAATTATCAAACCCACACCCGGGACCCGAAGTCTAGAGTTCCGGATACTCTTTTCCCAGCCCGCTTTGAGGAGGTTTGGGGCCCGGGGGCTTGAGGGGTGAGCATCCAACTCCACCGGTGCATGGACCCTGGGGTGGAGAGTGCCGTAGGTAAGCCCTTCATCACGGTTTAAATGCCGATTCTCTGATTAATAATCTCCAACTCTCCAACTCTGCTATACCGAGATTCCAAGAAAACGGCCCGGTCATGTCCGCGAAACTTTCGCCAAGTCGACACCAAAATCGATACTAGCGATTATCTATCGCGTCCTTAACCACGCTGCCTATAATATGATGCCTTCGCTGAAGTCAATGGGGTGCTACGTACTGCCTGCCGTGACGCCCACATTTGCCCAAACTGCAGCACAAAAACGTTCAACAAGTCTTGTCTAAGCAAATCCCACAGCCCGAAACCGAGTAAACCCGACGAGCCGCTACCCTGAAACCTCAATCCGTACACCTGGACCCTTGATATCTACTGCCAGAGACCCGGAAATCTGCAGCCATAATCCAGCCTACAGGGTGTTACCCTGACATTCTGGGATCATGACCTACAGTTTCGTCGGGATTGGATCCACAGAGGAAATTTCCTGAAGACCGCCACCCTAATATCGGGGCCTTGATAACCAGAAGCGGGCTTGGGTGATGTTACAGTACAATGTACGGCGTGCCTAAGAAACACTATTGGCCCAGTATTCCAGGCAGAATGCCAAAAACCTGTTTGAAAAACTCAAACATTAAAGCGCGCCTTTCAGGGACACCCTAAACTAGGATGCCCAGTAACCTAATAAAAAGCGCTCCCTTTTTTTAGTACTGGGTAGCTTGATAAGGAACCTAGGACTACAAAAAGGGAATAAGGCTACTACTGGGCATGCCAGTAAAGGAAGCCTCGAAGGAACCCTCATTTTGGGTGGTTGTCAAAATCATGGTCCCTTTTTGGCTACCCTAAATATTAGGTGCCGTATTATAATAAGGACCCCAAAAAGGGACCCTAATTTTGACAACCACCTCCATCCCAAGGGGTCAGGCCTATTCCCTAAGGGTCCTTTAAGGGTTTTTGTTTTAAGATCTTTAAGGGTACCATAAGGGTCCCCTTAAAAGTGCCATAGGACAGCCAGCCATGTGAGAGGCCGATATCGTATCTTCCCTGAGCCACGCCTTCAGCTTCGTCTCTAAAGCGTCCAGGGACTCTTTCGAGGTCGTCAGCTCTGCCTTCCGGATTCGCTGGGTTTTTTGTTTCTGATCCTTATTGGCATAATGGGGTTTAGAAGGTTTATATATGGCTCCAGGAAGGGGTTTTAGAGTGATCCTTATTGGCATAATGGGGTTTGTAAGGTGTATATGGCTCCCTGAAGGGTGCTATCATGGTGTTATAAGTGTTTGTGTGTCCTTGTTGGTATACTGGGTTTATAAGGTTTATTTCAGGCTCCTCGAAGGGTGCCATCGTGGTGTGAAAGGGCTTCGTGGGGTCAGCCACCTCGGGCGGGTTAACCAAGGTGAGGGGCTGTTGTTTTGGGGTTATTTTGAGGCTTCCTACTGATTGAACATGGCTTTGTAGAGTTTAAGGGTTTGTTCGCTTTAAGGGCTCCAAGCTAGGCTGTTGAACACCACTGGGGAAAAGTAAATAGTGCTTCTGGAATAGTCGCATCATAAGACGAACCAGAAACAAAACCAACAAGTATACCACGGAACATCCTAGATAAGTATCGCGGCAAGATTTTAAGGCTTATAAGGCCTGCTATTGAGGGCCCTCTTACTTCCTGCAGAGATCAGAACACCGTTAAGGGGTCTAGGGCCTAACGTTTACGTAAAGGTTAAGGATTGTGGGTTGCAGATTTCGGTGTTTAGGCTTTAGGGAGTCTTTGACGCTCACTTCAGGGAGGTGGGGTTTAGGGCTCAGGGGGTTGGAGTTTAGGGTTTCTGGGGTTTAGGCTTAGGGTTTGGGTTTGGGGGATTTTTGGAGGCTTACCGGTTTTCGGCTCGCTCGGGTTGCTGGCTTGATGCGCCTACGACTACGACGTAGGCCTACGATTTATTTTGAAGACTCTTGCGAGTTTTCGAACCGGTCTTAGGATTTATAAAAAAGTGTAGGTTCAACACACGAGGCGCAGCTCCGAGATCCTACAGGAGGCAACGGGGATGCTCAACAGGTCGGTGAGTGTCCACCTCAGCAGCCAAGAGAGGCACTGCTTGTCATAGCAACTTGTTACTAAACCCTGCGGGCCCATTCTGGAACTCCAATAGATGGGAGTTTCCGATAATAGGAGACCCTAATATAGTACACTACATAGTCGGATCTTTATTATAAGGACCCCAAGATAAGGTACCCAATTCCCATGTAGAGGGGTTTGGGGTTTAGGGGGGCCGGTCGCAAAGGATAGTTTTTGCCCACCCTCAACCCTAAGCATCCAAACCCCATAATACGAACCCTTGACGCGCCTATTTGTAGTTCTCAAATCAGGAATCCTTTGTATAGGGGTGCCGTACCATTTTTGGGGACCTACAAAGGGACCCAAATTTTGGAGAACTACCCACGAAGGCACGAAGACCTCTCACCTCTCTGTGTCAGGGCCTCGAGGCGCTTCGAGGTCTCTTGAGCTTCCAGGAGCTGGTCCTGCAGTAGCTTCCCAGCTTCTTTCAACTCCTCCACCTGGGTTACGGTTTAGGGTTTAGGGTTTAGGGGTTTATAACAGGGTTTAGGGCCGTCGGGAATGATTGGTCTTGTTCCCCCCTTCCCCCTAGCGGGTTCAGGCATCAGGGTTTAGGATACGGAAACTATTTTGATGCTCAGGGGGTGTATTGCGTTGTTCGCACAATTGCACACTAAACCCCAGCCCTGAACCCTTCCCCCGCTCAGAATCTATGTACTAAGCTTCTGGGAAGCTTTAAACTATCTTACTTCCTGTCCGCAAACATGCTCCTAACCAACTCTCCATGCACGCAACAATGGAAGGCAACTTTCCCTAGGGATCAAAATAGCCCAAATGCCTTATATAGTATGGTCTTTGGGCCCAAAAGCCTTAATATATGAGTCCTTAGATCCCTAGGGTTTTGTGGCTCCGGATAGTGGGTGGGGCTTGCGGGTTGCTGCGTGCAGGCCGGGCTCAGGAGCACCACCGTGCCGTGCTTCCTCCAGCCGCTGTGCATCGCGCGTCTACTGTCGAACCGTCTCCGCCCCGGTTAGGGTTTAGGGTTTAGGGTTTAGGGCCTCTAACTCTGACTCCCCACCCCGAAATAAAACTAAACCATAGGACCCTGAACCCTTTTGCATCCAGCCTGGACCCTGAACCCTAAAACCACTAACCCGTATAAACCGTGGCGCAGCTCTCTTCCGAGTTTGCAGGTCAGCACTGCTTCAGCATTGTTAAGAGACACCTGTGTAAAACCCGAAATTCTTCTTGTGGTTGCTATCCAAACGAACTCATCTACAAGAGCACCCTAAACAACGAACACGAAATCCCAAAAGACCCGTAACCCCAAATCACGAAATCGTAACTAAACATCAACACACAGCAGAAAAACGCACGCGCAAGTGTAAGGGCATAAGGGCCTTAATGATTGCAGAGGGTTTGATGTACATGGTGTTCTAACAGTACTGACGAACCCTAGGGAGCTCTATTGCAATCTAAACGCCGTGTAGTGACCAGGTGAAAAACGTTATGCGAACCCTGCTACTCTTCTGAACCGACAAAAAGGAACCCTGAGGCACAGTATTCCTTATTGATGCCGCGGCTAAATCCAAAAAAAACATAAAACCTTTCTACAAAACAATAGCAATCCATTAAAACTTCACTTGGCAAGACTTTAAGCTCCGAGAACACCTAAACCAGACCCCTCATGCGAGATAGAACCCTCATATTACAGTGACCCCGAAAGCAACCCCAGCCCGTCTGAAAACCCTAGACTGTCTTGCCATCCGAGATGTGGGCTTCCTTCTCAGCAGCCAGCTTGGCTGATGTGGAGGACTCGTTGGCTTCCGCCGCTTCTGCTAACCTTAGGACTCGAAATTCAGGATTTCAGTCTTTCGCATGTTCATGGCTTAGGGCTTTACGGCTTCGGGAGTCAAGGCCTTAGGGTTTAGGGTTGGACTTGGTGCACTTCTCGATTTGTGCGTGTCATCCTTGCGCAGGGGCCATGCTAATCTTCTCTGTGTCGCTCCAGTTCTGTCGGAGGAGTGCCTTCGTTTACTGTAGGGCTTAAGGTTTTGGGGCAACATTTAAAGTTTAAAGTTGTGAGTTGTGGCTTTCTTGTGTAGGTTCTGGTTCCAACTACACTTGAAGTCCGTTACAAGGATGATCCTTCGTCCAGTGCTCGATATGCAGAGTTTAGGGGAAAGTGTGGTTTTGGTTTTTTGGGGTTAACGGTTTAGGGCCCTTATGTAAACCTTAAGTTCTCCTGCCACATGTCTGTTGAAGGCCTTAGGCAACGGCTAGCCTTCCAAAGACACATAAAAAGTAGGATCCATTATCTGGCGACCCTCACCAATTTTCGTAAGTGCCAAGTTTCGAATTATTAAGGCCCCTGCATTACTTGCAACAAAGCCAAGACTGCGTTGGGGTTCTTAGCCAGAGACCCCAAAATCCCCCAATTAAGGAATAGACTTTAAACCATAATAGAGATCCTACTATAGTTTAAGGTACATTCCCTAATTGAGGGATATTGGAGCGTCTGGGTAACATGTAGCCGTGCAGCCTTTCCCTCTGTGACGAGCAAAGGCTTCAGTGTTTGGGGTTCCGGGATATATAGGCCTAATATAGGCGTTTCCGAGAATAGGGGGCCCTAAAATACTAGGATTCCGGAACCCCAAATAAGGTATTCCTAATTATCGGAAACTCCTAAAAGGTAATGAGGTTCATACTATAGGTGCCCTGATGCTTAGAATAGGGTTAGGGGGGTATACTGCAGCATGCTTGTAGTGAGGAGCCCTGTCGTAGCACATCTTCCTACCTTGGCCCAAACTAAGTATCCGCACTTTAGTATATAGTACTTTCAAGATTAGGAAATTTGGCGAATGAGTTGTACATAAACAAGTAGGAGAACCCGATGCGTGGAAAGCAGCTCATAAACCAATTACAAAGCCCGCTTTAAATCCTAAACCCCTACACGCCTAAGCCCGGAATCCAAAACACACCTCCAACAGCGACCCTAAACCCCAACCCCTAGACCCCTCAACCCCGAACCCTAAACCCCAAAACTCCAACAGCGACGGAGCAACTGTGTGGTCAGAAGTGTTTTTGACTCCTCAGCTTCTTTCAGGGATTGCTCCTTCTGCGCGACCTGCTCTTGAAGCTCCTCACCAGAGTGTGACGTAGGTTTTAGGGCTTGGCTGTCAGGGTTACGGATGTTGCAGAACCTCATCCGGATCGGAGATAGAAAGCCCGACATTCCTGAGAATTCGGTGCTTGGCAAACCAGGGTTTAGGGTACCCCAAATAGCCGACCTTGAGGACGTAAGGAAGTTACAACAATAAGGATCCCTAAGAAAGGTAGGTTTTATAGGTTAAGAACTTCTACCTAGGAAGTTACAGTAAGAAACAATCCCTAAGAAGGAGTTAAGAAAGGTAGGTTTTATAGGGTCCGGTGAGGCTTGAGGGCACCCAAACAAACCTTTTAAAGGTCGTATGAGCATGGAGGGAGTAGGCGTTTCGATACATTGTCCATGTGCTTCGTAACCCTGAGCCCAACCCAAGGCGACTCGAGGTGGGGCTCTAAGATGATAAGTATATATATATATATATATACATAGAGGGTTTAATTAATCGTTTTGAGGGTTGGAAAAGTTTTGGGCTCAGGGTTTAGGCTAATAAACGGTTTAGGGCTTGGAAAGTTAAGGGGTCTAGCGTTGAGGGTTTAGGGCTCAGTAGTACCCTTGCGCTCGTCGATTTTCCAGGTTCTAGATGTTTGCTTGTGGCACATGTACGGCACGCATCTTGCTAATGCGGTCCTTCAAACACGGGGAAACTGAGATAATGTGCATTCCTCACGCCCGCACACCAAGACTGCACCCAAAAAATGGGAGTTTCCCAAAACTAGGGGTACCCTGATTTTTGGGGTCCTTATAATAAGGGTCTCACTATTTAGGGTACCTGTTTAGGGTCCCCTTTTTTCGGAAACTCCCAAATGCACAGACATGCACATTATTCCAATGCTGGCCACAAGGTGGCCATAGCTGGAACAAGCCCCTGACTACCAGCCAAACCACGCGGTCGGAAGCCCCCTAGCTTTGGGGCCTTATTAATTAGAATAGGGGTTCCTTCAAAAAAGGGGGTGTATGGGTTACTATAAGGGATACTATATAAGGGCTCTGTGATATAGCGGCCTTAAGAATTAGAATAGGGTTCGCGGGGGGTATATTGTACCACAGTTATAATAAGGAACCCTCAAAAATAGTATTGGTAACTAATTATTTATTAGGCCCCTATATCAAACCCTATACACCCAAAGCTAAACTCTAAACCCTAATTCTAATGGTACACACTGCGGTCGGTTCGACAGCAGAGGCTGCTCCAAAGGACACACAACCTGCAGTCGTTTTGTTAAAAATGAGGCTGCAGCGACTGTGTCTGCAAAGACCTGAGCTAGACGCTCAGAAACATCAGGGAAGGCGGTGTTCGCCAAGTCTTGAAACAGTGGCATTGAAATGGTCGCATGCCAAGCAAGAAGCAACCTGCATGCATTGTCCGGCTCCACAGGAACAAACGTCAGATTGTGGGATCCTTTTCGGGACTCTGAATGCCTGAACGAAAGCAAGAGCTGTTGCGAAGCCGCGGCGGCCTTCGTAATGTTCACAAATCCCGATGGCTGATTTCTGAGCTGGCGCATGTCTCCATCCTCTACGACATGCAAGATTTGGGTACTGTTGAGATAATGTGCACACATGCAAAGCCTTGCCAGCTCAGTCTCAGCTGAAAAAGGGAGCCTCAAAATCTTTTTCTACTACAAGTACGATCAAACTATACTGAAGTACGGCCCCAAGGCCAGCCAATTAAGTAACGTTGTCGCCATCGTGTAGGTGTATCTTAACCCTAAATAACCTACCTCCTTTTGGGGCGCCTTATTATGATTTCCCACGTCCTTAGAAAGGTCAGTTATTCCGGGTGAAGCAAATGATTACCCCTGCTTCATCGCTATCTTTACCTATCTTTCAGGCCCCTTGTTGAAACGGCTCAGGTGCTCAAGTCTGCACGGCGCAAGGGCTGCGATTCTCGCTAGGGTTGATGCCATACGGCGTCGTCGCCAGCGTCTCGCCCTCCTCAGTCGCTGAGTTCCGTGACCCAGGCCCCCACAAAAGGTTCACCTTTGAAATTATGGCAGGGATATATACCATAAGTACATACATGTTCCTATAATTAATGTACATACATATATACATATATACTCGTACCTAAACGCGTACATATATATATATATATACACACACATGGAGAGAGATAGACCTATATGCATATATCTGTACATACACATGTGTATATAAGATTATATACACATGTATATATGTATGTATATATAGATATATATATATATATATATACAATTGTATGAATATGTATATGTATGTGTTGGTGTATATATATATATATATGGTATATTCGCTTGTTTACGTGTATAAACCAAAAAGGTTCAAGGTTACCTACTCTGCCTCTAAGCCGCCTCCGTGCGCTCCTCCAGGAGCTCATTGGCCGTCCTCTCATTCAAACCTGCGGAGCTCCAGAAAGCAAAGCGACCCCAAACAGTGAAGCAGATTTTTGAAACCCTAAACCAGTGAAAGACTAAAGCCCTAAGTACAACCTAAAGAAAACGATCCACTTGAGGATGATTATCAAGATACCTCCCCCCGAAAACTAATTTCACTTGACCTCAACCCTGGATAGTAGGATCCCTCTTGGGATCTTCTTGTCAGGATACCACGGAACTGACCGTAACTGACCCCTCAAAATTTCATGACTCCCGACTCCCCGCCTAATTCGTCTGCAACGTCCTCCGTCGACTCCTTCAATGCGTCAGGATCATGGTCATGATCAACCTGCGGGCTCCATGCAGTGCGGTAGTACGGTGTAATCCAGGGGCCTTGATAATAGAACGCGGTTGGCATTTATGGGAGTGTCCGCAAATAGGGGACCCTAATATAGCACCCTGAAAAGTAGGATCCTTACTATAAGGGACCCAAAATACGGTACCCCTCATTTTCGCAAACTCCCATATTACTACAGTGTCACCGATCATTCAAATTCCCGCGTAATATGTGGGCAAGGTTGATAACCCCCCAGAAGAGGCGGCTGCTGAAACTAAGGACCCTCCAACCTTGAAGAACCGACCCATATTGCCCCCCCCACCTGCTTGCTTTCATCGCGTTGCTGGGACCTCAGCGCTCTTTTCGAAGTAAACCCAAGCCCAAAACATCAAACCCGAAACTCTAACTCTCGCTCCATCGGAAAGCCCCTGTATGTTCACTCCCTAAACCCTAAACTAACTCGTAGGCTTCAGGTTTCTTGATTATGGGGTTCCTGATTATGATTTCCTGTTATGAGAAATTTGAAGTAGGAAATTCCGGGTTTAAGTTAAACTCTAAACCCTCAAACCAAGGCTTCGGCTGTTGGGAGGCATGGCTTGCTGCGAAGGTGTTGGTACCACCGGCGGTGCCTGGAGGGCGCACCTGGAGCTTGATGGCCATGTCCACCATCCTGAAAACAATTCTGTGGCCCTAAGGCAAAAGCCGGAAAGTTGGAATATGATTATCCTAACCCTTCTATGGTAAATTATAGGGTATCCTACCATGAAACCATATTCCAACTTTCTAGAGTTCCTTGTATGGGCTTAGGGTTTGGGTTTAGGGCTTTAAAGAGTTGCTGTGAAGGAGCTCATAGAGGTTAGAGGGCTACAAGATGCTTCTCAAAGAGCTTCTTTTGCTTACAGGGTGTTAAGGAGCTTTCCTTAAACTACCAACATTGGGTCCATAGTAGACAAAGAGATGGAAACTTAAGTCTGTATGTTAACCTCAAGAAGAGCCCAGCATCAGCCGGTCCATTTCCTCAAACTTGGCTTGCGTCATTCGCGTCAACTTGCCGACCGCACTGTCGTCGATGGCTTCCTCCAGGGACGGCCATGGTAGCTCGGGATTTGCAAGTCCTCCATATCCTGGGTCACCGTCAGCCATGAAAAAGCGCACGGAACCCTAAAGCCGCAAAAAGCAAAACGGCTCATTCTTTGCACAGGCTTGTGTGAATCCCGCCTGGATGTGTTGCAGCAAAACGGCCCTACACCATAAACTCCTAATATTGGCCAAGTGTCGCTGAACACGGTCCAGCGTTACTTTGGGGTATTGCAAGTAGTCCTCAGCTCCGGGAACAGCCAAGGAGCGACGTATTTGGGGTTCAGGGCTCAGGGTAGAACTGTGGTTCTAAAGTCCTAAAGTTTCTGTACCGGCTCCTTCAAGGAAACTTGATCCCCAAAACAGAAACAGATGTCTGTACTGGTGCCAATAAGGACACTACATCCCCAAATGAAAGGATGGCACCCTTGAGCCGAAGCCCTCGCTCTACTTCGTAGCCCAGGCTCACCGAACAGAAAACATAACACATAAACACATACTGCTGATGGACAAAATCCTGCATGACCCTAAGGACGCTAAACTATGGGAACTATGGTATATTCCTTATAACGGGTAATGCAGGATTTTGTCCATCAACAGTATGGGTAGTTTCTAAAGTAGCTATCCTTTTTAGGTGGAAAGCTAACCGTACTATATTATATTGTACTCCAACACTTAAAACTCAACACCTCCGTTACCCTGCAGCACCGTAGAACCCTTATACATCCCTGAAATCCAAGGGTAAAAGGAGGAACCCTTAATAAGGACCCCTAGGTATATACCCTTAACATAGCTATTATACACCCATTATATAGCTCATTATAGGGTAGGGGTCACCATTAAGGGTCCCTCCCTTTCCCCTTTGATTAAGGGAACCCAGACACGTAGGGATCCTCCGTGGTGGGCACCGCACCACGCGGTCCGTTGTCGCCCTCGTCTAGCTCACAAGCCTCCTACAAGAAGTGCTTCTTTAGGGGGTCTAGGGGTTTAGGGTTTAAGGGTTTAGGGTTTAAGGGTTGAGGGTTTATGATTTAACGGTTTAGGGTTTAAGGTTTACGGTGTAGGGTTTAGGGTTAGGGGTTTAGGGTTTAAGGGTTTGAAACCTGCGGAGCCGTTACCTTACCGCGTTAAAGATTAGACCTATAATTAAGGGGTCGTGTAAGCTACAACTGTGTAGGGTTTGGGGCCACAGACAAAGGGTATCTAAAGTTTCCATTCACAGAGTTAGAGGTGTAGGGGGTGTAAGGGTTTAAGGAATGAGGGTTGAGGTTTCCGCTTGCCACCCAGATTTTTAGGGTGAATCACAATTTCGGGCTTGGGGTTCAAAAGGCTCTCCTCAAGGGTTCCGATGGCCAGCTCAATAACAAGTAACTCAGAAAAACGATTAGAGCCGTGTGAACAAATTCTAAAACCCCTATCCCCAAGGGTCCAAAGGACCCAATAATAGTTATGTAGGTTAGGAGTTTGGAGAGTATCTGATTATTGGGTACTTGGACCCTTCTGGTATGAGAACCGATAGATCCCAACAACATCCAACCCGCCCTGCGCCAGAAACTCTAGAGCCCCAGTTAAAGCTCAAGAAAAAAATGGGCCTGCCTCCAAATGCAAGGACTCGACAAAGCCAGTCCACCGCTTCCTTTCTTCTCCAAAACAAGGAACTACTGGAGCGTCTACTTTAGGCTTTTGGGCTTAGGGCTTAGAGTTGAGGGTTGAGGTACCTCAATAAATAGAATGGGCTTCTTTAGGAGCCGTCTATACTGGTCACTATATGGGGCTTTGGGGTACTTTAAAGGTTTTGAACCTATGAATATCATAAGGAACCCTATGAGTAATGATTCCGACTTCTATATTACGGTGTTAGGTTTGCGGCTTAAGAGTTTCGGGAAGGCCCTTACGGACTAGGGGGGGCCTCGGCGTTTAGATTCGTAACACTACTAACAAAAAACGCTTGTCGCAAATTTAAGAATTACCAGAAAATAACATCAATACAGGAACCACAAACTTCAAGAGCTGATTCTGGCTCGTAAGAGCTGAGCTTCTTGGAAATCAGTGGCATTGACGTCTCATAGATGTTGATGCCGCGTGTGAGCCGGGCATTGCCGCGTGCATCGTGGAAGATCTCGTTGTAGCGCTGGCACAGCTGGGCCACCATCAAATTCATCAGGTACACGTGCCAGCAAGCGGCGAAGCCCATGACGAACCACTTCAACATCGGCTCATCTTCCTGCGCAATCTGCTCGTAGTTGTCACTGCCATAGGTGTTGAAAGCCATGGACAGCAAGGACTCAAAGGCAAGAGGCCAGCTGAAGAAGTCCCTCATCTGAACAGAATCCGAGCCCATGGACTGCGGCAAGCAAGCAACTGCGGAAGCGAAAGCGGCTGTGAAGAAAATGAGGACTGCCACATACAAGATGAACTCCCACATGAGGCTCGAACAAATCACGCTGAAGACGGAGAGGTGAACGTTCAGGTGCACCAACTCGGATGCAAGTATAAAGTAGAGCATCATGGGGAAGGCAGCGAGTCGGTTGTAGGTGTGCATGAGGTTGCATTGCCATTCTCCGTGCGCGCAGCAGTCGATGAGGAACTCGCTGCTGACGGCAAGACAGTGGAGTGCTGGCTCAATGCACAGCAGGCACAGCAGGAGGAGCAGGAGCAGAACTTCGATTAGCTCCTGCCGCGTCCGCAGCACATACTTGGGCACCGGCATGCAGCAATACCTCATCATCTCCTTCTGGCGAACGGCTCTGTATGTCTGGAATGCGTGCTTGGCGAAAAGCTGCCCCAGGCTGCAAACGTATAGCAATGCCCGGCAAGCAATCACTGTGAATCGATCCTGGGAGGGGTCTGATCATGGTTTAGGGATTCGGTGCTCACACTCGGACACTCAAGGGCTTGGTGTTTAGGCTGTTTCGACTCGCACACTCGCACAATCGCAGGCACGGCTTCCAGGTCCATTGCTACCGTTACTTCTGCTTCGCTGCCAAAACCTGTCACTCTGCTGTTTAGGCTCTCTCTCTCTCTCTCTCTTGCTTGCTTGCTTGCAGGGCGTTTGGGGCATGGGGTCGGACCCCACAACCCCCGCGCGCGCGAGCGCAACGCCTGTAGTCTCTCTCTCTCTCTCTCTCTCTCTGCCGTTGCATCCAGAGGGTCTAGCAGCGCCAGTTTAGGCTGTTTAGGGCTTAGAGTTTACGATTAGCTGGGCTACCGTACCAGCTAGCAGTTCGGTTTAGAACAAAAAGTTTGCACATGCCCACCTGGACGTGAACCTTTGTTGATGCAAGCTACATACAAAAAAACATGTAACAAGCAAATATCATTTCAACACACAGATGCAGCTGGCCATCGCGGCGCAATCGTTTTGTGGTTATCAGGCGACGTGTCTAGGTCTAGAGGGTTCCTTTCAAGGGTACAAAAAATGGTTACTATAAGTACAAGGGTCTAAATATATATATATATATATATATATATATATGTAGCTCGAGCGGGTCAGTGATTGAAATACACTCACACACAAGCCGTTAGTTGACCGTGATGCGAAAACCGAATACATCTTGATTCAAAAAGCTTTATGGGTATCACAGAGAATCGTGGTTGAGATCCTCAGTTCAAACATATTAAGTCCTTTGGTGCACACCCTGTACAGTGGTTCAAGCAGTCATGGCTAGCGGAACTCCCTAAACCCCAAGCCCTGACCCGGGATTCAGGCCGAAACGCGCCAGCGGGGTTTCTGAAAACCTTGAGCCTCATGGCCTGAAATGCATTAGGGTTTATGTATGTATGCATATGTATATATATATATATATATATATATATATAACATAAGTGTATATATATATATATATATATACATACATATATACATGTGTATGTGTATATATATATATATATATATATATATATATATATATAATATGCATGGTCGAATCTAACGTACGGTTTCGGGCTTAGAGTTAAGGGTCTAGCGCTTAGTGCTTAGAATTTAGATTTTACGGTTCAGGGTCCTGCTGTCTTTGCTGGGCTACATGCAACCCTGACAGCCTAGGAAGCCTAACGACTGTGAAACACCAGCCGTTTCGGGTTTTGGGTTTAGGATTTAAAGTCAACCCCAGCTCCACATGAAAATGCAGAACTTCCCTTCAAGCCCAGGTGCAGTGCTCAATGAATCACTTGAAACAATAGCTTGCCTGAGATATGTCCAGCTTGCTTTTGTTCATTGCTGCTCTTTGTCGGCTGCTGTCGGGCAAACGGGTCTGAGGTTTTTTGGGCCCAAACTCTACGAAGTGGTTGTTTCTGTTGGCTAAGAGCTGAAGAGTTTTGAAGAGTGGCCTTTTCAAGCATTGTAGGACACACTTCGGGGAAGGGGTCGGGCCAGCAAATCTCGCACACGATACAGTACCCACTGTACATTATCTGAACGCCTAGAGCTGAACCGTGAAGACCCTGCAAACTCGAGTGCCCGTCTATATATTGGGTTTAGTGTTATTTGGTCTTACACCAAACCCCACAAAAAATGGGAGTTTCCGAAAATTGGGCGTACCTTGTTTTGGAGTCCTTATAATAAGGATCCTATTATTAGGGTACTATACTAGGGTCCCCTATTTTGCCCAAATACTCAAACAAACCCAAGCCCGAAACGCCGCGATCGCTGTAAACCCTGGAGCGCCGGTCTGCTTAGATATGGGTGTTTCCGAAAACAGGGGACCCTAATATAGTACCCTAAATAGTAGGATCCTTATTATATGGACCCCAAATAAGGTACCCCTAATTTGCGGAAACTCCCATATGAGCATGGCAGGCCTTTGTGCAGTTGACGATATGCCCTACAAGGAATGGGATATAGGCTATAGGGCTGTGGATTTAGCTTGTGGGGGTGGTTGGAATTTGGGGTTTAGGGCTTTGAAAGCAGGCTTTTCGGACCTTTGGTGTTTGGATGTTAAAGGCATGTCTGCGGTGATTTAAGGGTTACGCGCTCTGAGGGTCTTGGGGGTTTCAGGGACCACGATTGCAAGGCTGTCCAGCGTGGATCTCCAAGCTACTGTTCCGCCATGACGAAAAGGACGAGAGTGAGGCAGAACCAACACCTGGGCACGGCTGGATACGGTTGGGCGAGGTGTTAGTTCCGGGGTTTCCAAAGCCCAAATCCCCCCCAACGCGAAACCCTGGACCAGGATTTAGGGTGCGGGTTTGAGCCTTGTAGGAGGAGTTGAGTTTAGTGCTTCTTGAGCCGAGGGCTTAGAATTTCGGGAAACCGTTCATACGAGAAAGCAGTGGGGCCATCACGTCAACCTACTACCCTCCACGTTATATGGTAAGATATAGTCTTTGTGCTCCCTATGTAAGTACATGCATACATACCTACATACATACAGACATACATACATACACACACATACATACACACATACATGCATAGATACATGCATACGTTAGCTACAAAAAACACTTACAACTTACATGCGTGTGTATGTATGTATGTAGGTAGGTAGGTAGGTAGGTATGTATGTATACATAAAAAAGTGTGTATATATATATATGTATGATATGTGTATGCACGCACACATACATATCCCTAAATTGCACGAAGCAGCTTCGTCAGGGCCCAGGGCAGGCAACAAAGCCGAGTCCAAAGAAGGTCAGCTTGGAAGACCACGGTAGGATGGCAAATGATCTCGGGATCTCCTTTGGCTTTCGGGTTTACTTGGAGACTCATGGGTAGTTATAAGTGGGGGGTTATAAGTCCCCTAATATGGGCTATACGTATAGTTACCCTACTTGTAACCCTACTTATAACTACCCATGAATCTCCAAGGCTAAGGGTTTTGGGACGTCGGGGTTTAGGGATTAGGGCGAAAGGCGTCTAGTGCTTCTGGGTTTTTCAAGGGTTCAGGCTTCATTCAGGGACTAGGATTCTTGGGGTTTCTTCGCGTTGAGAGACCCTGGAGCGAACAAAAGGATACAACCGATTCACCCATCTGATCGGTCCCTGGACCTGCAGGCAAACCCTCAGCCATATCATATACATCTCCCAACCCTAAAACCCTCTACCGTAAATCCATAAACCCCTACCCCTTTCCCCATGCCAGGGACCCCTTTCCTGCACCCGAAAAACCACCTGAAAACCGCTGAAAACCCGATCCGCTCCTTGCTTGATCAGGTCCAGGAGGGAATCCGTGAGCTGGCCATTTTCATCTCTCAGCCTAGCGTAGGGTTGTGGATAGTTGGAGTAGGGTCTTGGGTTTAGGGCTTTAGGGTTAAGGGAGCTAGCCATGTTCATCTCTCAGCCTACTTGGAGGTTCATGGGTAGTTATAAATGCAGTATAATAAGTCCCCCAACATGGGTCATATCTATAGCTACCCTACTTATAACTCAGGTTCAAGTATCGTAGGGTTGTGGCTAATTGGAGTAGCGTCTGGGGTTTAGGGCTTTAGGGTTAAGGGCCCTACAGTTTAGGGTTTTAAGGCTAAGGGTCCCGGTGCTCACACTCAGGGTTTGGGGTTTAGGTGTCTGAATAATTGGAGTAGGGTCCTGGGTTTAGGGCTTTAAGGGCTTTAGGGTTAAGGGCCCTAGGGTTTAGGGTTTTGGGACTTAGGGTTCACGGGTTTAGCCTCGTTGGAACAGGGTTTTGGAGCATCTTGGACTGTGGATCTGTCCACGACTTGGAGGTTCATGGGCAGTTATAAGTGGGGTTATCAGTAGTGCGTGGGGGATTGATCTCGACTTGGTTGCTGCTCTCCCCACCAGAGCTGTAATGAATGTAGGTGTGGCTGGCTAGCACTCTCCACAGACCGGACCCTGTCTCTCCCTCTTACTCCCACACGTGCGATCCTATGCAGGCAGAACCGGCGGCCGTTCCTTTTGCACTCACTGCCGGCGGCGGTTCGTCTGTGCAACGGGATAGCTCTGATTGCTCAGGATAGAAGACACATATAGCACTTAGCTATGGGCATTGACTTGAGCCAAACGTTGCGTTGGCGGTCACATAGAAAGGTAAAGACGAGGGATGCGTAGCATGCCCCCTAGAGTCGAGGGACGCGTAGCGTGCCCCCTTCTCTTGCACTTTACACGGTCTTGCTCACAGCTCTTATAGTGACACCTTAGAACTTGACAAGGCATCGCAGTCCGTTCGCACCCCCCATGAGTTGCGTCTCCGACGCTGCTCACCCGGAAGATGGCACGATAGGACAGAAGAAAATTCCGCCGCAACATTGATATTGAAAATCAGAGCTTTATATCCCAATTAGAAACGTTGTGACACTCATCTACGTCAGTGACGATCCCCTGAAATGACAAACGGATCAGGCGTCACCGAAGAAAGAAGCATTCGCAATGGCATTCCACGGGCGAAGCTCAGAGGTCACGAACTGATAGGCGAGGAAGATCAGGCGTTGTCTCGCCACCATCTTCGCGTTGACGTAGGATCGCGTTCCCAGGGCCGGAGGTTCTCCTCTGGATATGGGTTTCTTGGCTTTCCCTTGTCCTTGCCTTTGTTTCGGCCTTTGGCGGCGATGTAGTCGTGGTAGGAATTGGTGTTCCAGCCACCATGTTGCTCGCCTCCGGTTCTTCCACGCCCTTTTGAAGGTCCCTTGGATGAAGAAGCGCTTTCACGTTCCTCCGTAGTAACAGGCGTGTCCAGGATGGAAGTACCACCTGGAGGAAGATAGTCAGCGGCCGAAATGTGATGTAGGGCTTCCGTACGCCTTGTCGTCGGGTTTTGCTGTCTCTCAGTCTTGGATCTGTTCAATCTGTCCATGAAATGCGCAGGCATCTGCACACTGTGGTCCACCAGCAAAGCGATGGTCTGGACTGACTGATCAGAATGAGTCAGCAGAATACCGACAGGGTCGATGTACAAGAAGTCCACCGGTCCAGTTGGCGTTGGTCGTAGCACTGAGAATTGTTGGTGTCCCGTCACCATTGGGATCACCTCGCATAGGACGTTCAGGCAACAAAAGTGCATTGCCTTTACATCTTCATCCCTGTCGCTCTTCAAGTAAGTAGTAGGGCTGAAGTTGTCCCTGCCAATTCCCATCATGTTGGCTCCCCGTACAAGTAAAGAAAGCATCTGGTTCGTCCGGAAGCGCTTCAAGGTGTAAGTCCCGTTGGGATCATACTGTTTGAGGTTCTCAGGTTCCTTCGCAAAGCGAATGATCTCCTCATCAGTCACGTCCCTGCTGACACCTGTTTCTTTATCCACTGCTGCCAAAGATCCCCACTTTCCAAGCACATCATAGCGTTGTCCAAGCGCGAAACTTTCCCTCATCTGAAACAATGGCATAGTCGCCCACTTTGCGAATCCTGACCAAGCTTTGTAGATGGATCGGCATACCACGTATGCCATGTACGACAGAGCGGTCATGTTCGCGTCAATGCAATGGGCATTTCGCTTTCCAGAATAGTAGGATGGCTGCATGGCGGTACGTGCAAGTTGTAGTTCAGGATCGATGTTCAAAGACTGGCCGGTAAGGAAGACGGGACGACGTTCCTGTGCGATTGCTTCCGGAACTGCGTCATCAAAGTCTTCTTCAGGCTCAACGTCCATTTCTTCATCAGGTTCCTGTTCTGGATCGTCCTCTGCAACGACAGATGGTTCTGGGATTTCTTCAGGTTCCGCAACGGTCTCTACCTCCATGGCTTCCTGCTCCTCTTCGGGCGCCTCAGGCACTGCGGCTGCTGCGGCTTCCATTGTCTGAGCAATGAAGTCACTGGGGATCTCCGTAGGAGTATCCCGTTGTGGAGAACCTTGGTAATATCCGCTTGAAATGAACTGTGACCAGCAAGACGTGCATCGGGAGAAACATGCTGGAACAATGTTGTAGCATGCCGGGCATACCCTCATTCTCCTTCCATCCTCGTCTCTGCGTAGGTCTTCGGGTCGCCAATTCTTGATGACAAACTTGATTCCCTTGTCCATGTAGTGATGCCGAACCGTGTTCTCCCTGTGGGACTCCAAGACAGTTGTGAGGTCACGAATGATCTGCTCCTTGCTTGTGTCGTGGGGTCCAGGAGGCATCTCGCAAAGCAATTCCATGATCTTGCTTGGCGTTCGGTATCTCTCGAACTCGGGAAGCAACGGTGATGCATTGTAGTCCAACACCAGCTCTTTCTCCAACCTTTCATCGTAGATCTTTTCCACCAGAGCGAAAGAGTGTGTATCTCGAGGATCAGGGACGCAAAACCATACCTCCTTGACGAAATGGAAAGGTATCGTTCGACCAACGATCATGATGCCGCTGTCTGTGATACGTCCATCCTCTCGTGCAAGATCTTGCGATGGGACATGAAGAACCGCCAATGGCATATGCTTGGCGTCTCGTCCGTGTACTCGCATCTTGGTCGTTGCGTTCCGGTGATCGAACGGCGCAAACACCCCCCAATAGCTGTGGAGTCTGCCGCCTTGGTTGCCTCGGAATTGGCGCCGATGGTCAAAGTCCCCGTCGGGGTCCTCCGAACCAGGCATGATGCCTTGCGTGACAATGGAGTCCAAGTTGCGGCATGCCGTAGCGTGGAACGCACCTCCAAGACGTTGCAAGAGGGTCATAGATGGAGATATTGCGAACCTGTTCTTGTCTAACTGAAGCAAGTTGTTCTGGGGATCTGAATGCGCAGAGTGACCACTCGTAGCCCGAACTGCCCATGGCTTCACCCAGCCGTGGCATAGGTTCAGGTACCTCTGGCCATGCCGGCAATGGTCGTTGCTCTGGATCTCCGCGATCTGGTCCCGAACTGATACCAACATGTTCGAACCTGCTGATCCAAGAACTTCCGTGCCGGGGTCCTTCACTCTCACACCCAGGAACTGCAACCGAATCTTGGCCTTGTTGCGTTTCGTGGCTGCAATCATGTTCCCCTGGAACAATAGCTGAAGTCTTTCATTGTACACTCTCTTCTTCTGTTGGTCATCGGTCCTTGAGACCCCTTCGGTGATGCGTCTGCTTTCATGGGTCCATAGTGGCTCATGCCTCACCAAGTCTTCGATCAGCACCCACCCTCCTTCATCACATTTGATGACACTGTTGAATGCCACCTGGCACCGGTTGTCAAGCCATTCCGAGCCTGGGCGCCTGGCGATTCTGTGGCGCAAGTCAGACTGGATGCATGATAGCGCCCAATCCGCATTCAACCTGCGCTGACGGGTGATGTTGCGAAGGACAACTTCGTTCACGATGTCCCACCGATTGTTGATGAAGCTTGCACCCTTGGTTGGGATCAGGTCGAGAATCCCGCACCGGATTGGCCTTCCGCCGCCGATGGATTCATAGCCTGGATTGGTGTAGCTGTTAGTGTTCTCGTCGTACACATAGCTAGGACGGTCTCCCCGTTGGGGTAGGCGTCGGTCGCGATGGTCCGAAAGCTGCTCAATGATGTCCACCACTCGCTGGCTATTCTCTGGTCCCGATTCCTGCAGTGGTACGCCACAAGCATCATTTAGGCCCCGACGATTCTCCACATCCGTGCAGAGATTGTGTTTGTTCTCATAACGGATCAAGACCACATCACCCCGAACGGCTTCGCCTCCGCGTCGCGGTCGGGCTTTGGCCTTGGGTCGTCGGTCCGAGGATGCAACACTCACATGATCTGTGGCGTCAACGTCCATTGGTTCAGCCTCTTGTGAAGGTACTCGACGTGGATATCGAAGAAGACTTTCCTTGATGATCTGGACGCTTCGAAGTACCAGGTCCCGAGTTGCAGCATTCTCTGTGCAATTTGACAGAGTGTGTAGGTCACTGCCACAAGCAACACAAAATGTGATGCGATCGCTTCCGACTGACATCTCGCCCTGAGCGAGTACGCCAACATAGTCCTGAAGCTGCGTGACAACTCCTTCACGAATTGCATGCCTGGGATCAGGGCCTTCTGCACCTTGCTCTTCTTCGGGTTGCGCATCCACATCCACATCTTGTGCAGGTATTGGTGGAGCAACTGAGAACCCTGGATCGTCCGTGACGTTGTCAGCGGCCTGTGTCTCGTCGGTTCTCGTAATCTCTACAGGGTAGATATCACCATCGACGATCACTGTGAAATCAATCACGAGGTCAGCGGACATGTTGTTGACGATCTCAGCGACTGCTTCATTCTTCTTGGGCGGTGTCCTTTTGCGTGGGGAGTCAACCGTGATCAGCTCGATGGCTTCGGCCGACGCGTAGCGGAAGAATGACCTTTCGATTCCTCTTGCGCACGCATTTGCTCCCTCAAGGC